TCAGTAGGTCGGCAAGGATGACTAATATATGTAATTGTTAGCCAGCTGTTATTAAAGGACAGGTTTTAAAATAGAACAGATAAGGCCTTTATTGTAATTGTAAATGTACAACGCGAATGTGGAAAATAATAGGGATTATATTAAACTGGTAACTACATAAAGCTCTGAAATAGATATAAAGCTTAATGAAATTATCTGCTAACTGACAAGTGTGGATTTTATAACTCAATAAACTGGACTGTGTATATAACACAAGGCAATAAAATAGTGTGTTTCCCACAGATTTAGCTTGTACAGTCATGGCCTAAAGTTTTCATTTCATGTTTTTATAATATGGTAAAAACATAATCATAGGCATTTGATAAGCTTTTGTTGTCAGTGTGACATGCTGGATGTCAGCTTCGGGGCCAAGTCCAGAAGCTCATAAAAATGAATCTGATCTCTTGGCACAATAACTGTGAACCAGTGTGAATGACTACTGTAAAAACTCAAGTTGCATATTGTATACAATACAAAATTTGTGCCATGACTATAATCTGTGTGTATGTGTGCCTTTGTGGTTTATATGCAAATTGGACACGGGGGGGGGGTCTCTTGAAAGGATGAAAAGAAAAATATGTAAATGTTAAAATGAGTCAAGTGTACTTGGGCAGACTTCAAAAGACCTTGCCACCTAAACTCAGTCCATCTGTGGTGACACCGGAATACAGCCTGGTTGAGAACATTGTAATCTGTGCAAGAGCAGGACTACCTTTTGCTTTCTAGGCAGCACAAACAGCTGCCAGCTCTCATTCCACACGCGACATAACTGCATTCAAATGCTTGCCTTCCTTTAAAAAAAGAATTAAAAAGCCTCTAGTTGTTTGAGGAATGAAGGAAGTCAGATCTTCCTTATCTTCCTTTTCTCTGCTCAGTGTGGGTAGCTCCTCCCCACAAACACACAATAAAACAGCAGAAAAGAAAATGTAGTCAGATCATAAATGACAACTGAACAAAGTAATGACTCTCACACTGAGCTTGAAGTGAACTTTTGCACATATAGGGAAACATTAAACATTGTTTAAACTATGCTATCTTCCTGGTGCCACAGAATTTCCTCATATTTTATTTTATTTTTTACAAGCAGTGTATGACTGTGCAGCACAACAAAGCAATGATTCACATGAGATGCCAGTAATGCAGATGGACAAACTCAATGTTGAACAATTTTGTTATGAGGGCCAAAGATAAATTTCCTCAGATGCGTCCTAATCCAGATGTAAGCAAAAAGGTTTTATAGCAAGTCACAACACATCACTCCTCAAAGGAATTTTATTACTGAAAATCATAGATCAATGCATTAGCAGCAAGTGGTTTATGAATAGCAATAGCTATCCTACTTAAGAAAAATCACAAGGCAGCAGTTTCATGAATGTTGAATAAAATTTGTGTTTTGAAGTTAAGCTCTCTGCTTAAAGCCGCTGTATGACAGGTCAACCATGTAATTTTGGGTGAAATATTGATGAACTCAGACATGCCCTAAACTGGTGTTAACGACACATTTAGCAACAGGGTATCAACATCAAAAAGAGAGCAGCTCGAGTCACATGAAGTCACTCACCGGTCCACTAAAGATCCAAGGCTATGCGGCTATGAGATTATGATTTTAAAGTTCAGTCATTATCATCATCCCATTTTACTAGTTTTATTAGTACAGGGAGGTCAAATGTAAGGCCAGCAGACCAGAATGAGCATGGCAAAGACTCCAATCCTGCACGCCAGACAGCTTTAGAAAATATGAAGGAGTTCATAGATTCCTATTGATTAATCACTCCCTACTCCCATTCATACTCCTACAAAGCCATTAAGTAAGAGATAATCAATTCAATGACAGAAAGTTCATGTTTTTCCAATATTACAGGAAGTCCACAGTTGTGATGGACTGAGATTTTCAAATTGAGATGGCCAACACAAGTAGTCCATACTCCCATATTTCACTATGGTGTTCATGTGACTCACATCCATCATTAGTTAGCTCGCTACAGCAAATTTGGTCACAAAGAGGTATTTTCCCCTGATGAGTTCAAAGAATCATGAGACCTAAAACAGAATAAGCTTTTCTTGTTCCACTCCACAGGAGGCTTCCTGTCCTTTTGCATGAGTACTTGCTGTCAAGTGAAAAATATACAATTTCTGCACAAGTATATAACATAGGCATCCTGGTTTGTGGAGGCCTTTGTGATGCATTTAAGTATTCTGAATCGGCACTTCAGGAGCAACATTATAAATTGTAATCTGCAAAACACTGAATTGATAACAAGACAATAAACTAGATATACACAATAAAACTTAAGCTTTATCTTTTTTTTTTAAATTGAAAAAATAAGTTCAGCATGTACGTTCATTTGTATTGCAACCACAATCACTAATACTGGAGACCACTATCATGCAGTAATAATCCAATTATAATGTAATACTCCTCTTGCAAAGCTGGTGTCACTAAATTCCATTTAATTTTAAATGACTTGGAGGTAATTAGATCAAGTTGAAAAGGTTATCCCAACCCTTGCGGTCTCTGTTTGATCTGTGATGAGTCTAGGGTGTGTTGGGTTTTTTTAACTGCTTGTTTAGCTTTTAATATATCATTTACAAGTTTCTATTTCCTCTATCTAATCTAATGTTATATATCGCTCTGTGTTTAGGGTCTTTGGTAATGTATATGCTCATTCTATTTGAGTTGTTCTCTTGGGCAGGGGACTATCACAAACGAGATCTGACATCTCAAAAGTCCCAATTTGAGGGTTAAATACATTTTAAATAAAAATAAAGTTATGTGTTCTTAGAGTGGTTTTCCTTGTTAGCATACCTCATGTTCTGAATTCTCCTGTCCTCCACTCTTCCCCACTTTGCCAGACTTGGGAGACTCCTGCAAAAACATTTTCAATCAAAAGATTATAAACTTGATTTAATTAAATGAAGTTTATATTGGTTGACAACATCAGGTGAATGCAATTGGTGAATGCCGCCTTGCACAAATCCAAGCTAAATATAGCACGCCTGCCCACCCAGTCTCGCACTCCTGTTTAACCACACTGTAAAGTCTGCTGTTAGCTAGCTCACGTTACACGACCCGAGGTTTCAGCTTCTAAAAGTCCTTAAATTTACACCAAAATAACACACACGTGCAATGTAAGTATCACTTTAAGATAAGGGTGCTCTATTTACATAACACTGCACAACGTGCCAAGTGCTAACATGACGGCAGGATAGGGCTAGCAGGTAATGATTGCAGGCTGGCTAACGTTTGTGTGATGGGACACTGCGCTGGTAGCAAAATGTCGTATTATACACCCGGCACATTATCAATAAATTCAATGAAATGTAACTCGTGCAAAGTTTGTTCACTATGGACACGGCCTGCTAGCTTTTGTCTAACTCACCTTATCTTTTTTCGTTTTATTCGGCATTGTACAAGCGTAACCGCCCTTGCTCCCCTCACGGATACTCCACAACCAAAACCTTGACAACTCTCAGGACAGCACACTGCAAGGCGGTTCAGTCTGCCCTTACGCTGTGATTGGCTGTTTTCAGTCAGCTGACTCTGGCGCGTCACGCTAACGATGGCCAGTGTAAAGGCACCGAGAGCGCACCCTGCCGGTGACAGGACAGCAACACATAGGATTACAGGCTCCCGATACTTTGGATTACAGCCATCGACAGCATACTTCCTATGGTCATTCCATGGAAAATCAATCAGTGCCTCCCACATGACCCCCTCATAATGAGTTGGCAGTGTATATATATATTTTTTTATTATTACAGATACATGTTCAGGTACAGTTTTTATTTTACTTATTCCTTTTCATTCAATTTTTCGTCTAAAATCTTTGAGCATCCCAATCCTGGCACATACCATAGTTTCAGGAGCGAATCTGCTAAAAACTCGTCTCCATAGTTGTGTTTCCTTAATGTTTCTCCCAGTGTTTTTGGCTCTTGTTCTTCGAATGTGTTTGAATATGTAGAATTATCTTTAATAAGTGATTTTATCCAAACTGTGAAGCAATTTGTAACTAGGTTTAAAAAATCCTATATAAATAAAGTTGTTATTATTATAGTAGTAGTAGCAGTAGAAGTAGTAGTATTATATACTGCAGAATTTTGGGTAGACTCGGATGGTGAAAACAAATTATAACATTTTATATCAGGCTGAACCATCTTCGTTATGTGTCAAAATAATTTTCCTTTATAGTTATATTTTTGGCTAAATATATTCACGCACCTGTAAAACCAGTGGTAAATGACCTGTATTTGTATAGCGCTTTATTTAGTCCCTACGGACCTCAAAGCGCTTTACACTACATTCAGTCGTTCATATACTGGTGTGTGGCAAGCTACACAGCTGCCCTGGGGCGCACTGACAGAGGTGAGGCTCCGCCACCTACCTTCTTCTTTCAGCTGGTTGAGACCCCTAGGCCGGAGCTTTCTAGAATATTTGAACAGCTTGGTAGAACCTTCTTTGAATGCACAACGACTGCCATCTACTGGTAGTTAACAGGAACCCACACGTGTAAAATGACTTGGACATATAGGATAAAAGCAGTGCGGAATGCATGAAAATATCTAAATCGATGTTTAAGCTTATGAGTTTAAGTCTAAGGAGCTTGGAAAGAAAAGCGTCTGGACTTCTTTAGGTTGCTTGAAGACGTTTCACTACTCATCCGAGAAGCTTCTTCAGTTATAGGGTAAAATGGTGGAGAGTCCAGACTCTTTTCTTCCCAAGCTCCTTAGACTATGATGACCTGGATGACTGAGAACCTTTACAGACTTAAACATGTGCCTTTCCACAAATAACAAAATGGGTAAGCCTTAATTTGATCATTTGTATCTTAGAAGAAGCTTAAAGATAGATAAGCAGAAAAGTAGAAGAGGAGACAAAAAAAGGAAGTTATTTTTGGATGAATCTGACTACAGCAATGATGTATTATATAAACCTTTCCTTCCTCTTTAGGAGTTTCTCTGTCCACTTTTACTTTTTCAACACAAACATCTATATCCTTGTAGCTTCAATCTGGCAAGAAATATCAGTACTGTGGAAAAGACTTCAGTGAGGTTACGTAAAAATGAACAAATTCCCAAATTATAGCCAAAAAACAGAAGCCTCGAGTTCTTTTGGCTTTTCCCCGTTTGTCTTTCTTTCAATTTGTTCCCAATAAAGGCATAATTATCAGATTTATCTGCTATTTCTTGACTTCCCCTCAAGCATTTTGCTTTTTATTACACAAGATTTTTTGCTTTTTCCATGGAGAAACTAAAAAGGCAACTGGAGAGCAAACAATCTGCCCAAGGGCAATGCTTCATTCATATGAAGCAAAGAAAAAAAAAAAAAAGGGGTGGTTCTTCTCTTTCTTTCACTCTATGTTTAAGCAAGCATTGGTTTGGTAGCTTATGATTCATAAACAGTGTTGACTTCACTGGTTTTAAATGAAAACAGTATACTTCAAACATGGAAATTACAACGTCACATCATCACTTTATATTTATCAAGATACAAATTTCTGTCAAATGATGGATAAAGAATGTCTTTAAAAATCCTGGTGAGAAAAAAAAAGTTCTAAAATAATGTTTGTACTTCATTTGAGCTGAATTAAGAAACCCTTGTGACATAGCTTTCTACTTGTTGAGAACAAAGTCTAAAGCAGTTCTTCGACTACAAGTGAACATTAATAGTTTCATTGATTTTCTCATGAAAAAAAAAAA